GCTTAAGCTTATTCATATCTTAAGCTTAGTACTATGTTTATATCATATAAGTAGATTAGCTAACAAACTCTAAAGAGTTTTTGCTATAAGTATCATCATATTTCTAAGCAATATGGTTATATTATAACATGTATTAGCTAACAAACTCTACAGAGTTTTAGCTATTATATATGTAACTTAAGCTTATTCATATCTTAAGCTTAGTACTATGTTTATATCATATAGGTATATTAGCTATCAAAACTCTAAAAGAGGGTTTTGCTATTATATATTTCATTTTAAGTTTCATCATATTTTAAGCTTTATGGTTACATTATAACATGTATTAGCTAACAAACTCTACGGAGTTCTTGCTATTATATATGTAGCTTAAGTTTTCCTTCATAAGCTCAATACTAGGTTTATATCATAGCTAACAAACTCTAAAGGGTTGTTTTCGCTATTATACAATTAGCTTAAGTTTCATCATATCTTAAGCAGTATGTTTACATTATAAAGATAGCTAACAAAACTCGACGGAGTTTTGTTATTATATATATATAGCTTAAGTTTCATCATAACTTAAGCTCAGTACTATGTTTTAACATAAAAGTATATTAGTTAATAAACTCTAAGGAGTTTATTTTGCTATATACTTTTAGCTTAAGTCTAATCTTATCTTAAGCTTAGTACTATGGTTACACTATAAACATATTAGCTAATAAACTCTACAGAGTTTTTTGGCTATTATATATGTAGCTTAAGTTAATAATATCTTAAGCACAATACTATACTCATATTGTAAAATATATTAGCTAACAAACTCTACGGAGTTTTGCTATTATATATGTAGCTTAAGTTCATTATATCTTAAGCACACTACTATACTCATATTGTAAAATATATTAGCTAACAAACTCTACGGAGTTTTGCTATTATATATGTAGCTTAAGTTAATTATATCTTAAGCACACTACTATACTCATATTGTAAAATATATTAGCTAACAAACCCTACAGAGTTTTGCTATATATATGTAGCTTAAGTTAATTATATCTTAAGCTCAGTACTATACTAATATTATAAATATATATTAGCTAACAAACTCTACAGAGTTTGGCTATTATATATGTAGCTTAAGTTAATTATAGCTTAAGCACAGTACTATACTCATATTATAAAAATATATTAGCTAACAAACTCTACAGAGTTTGGCTATTATATATGTAGCTTAAGTTAATTATAGCTTAAGCACAGTACTATACTCATATTATAAAAATATATTAGCTAACAAACTTTGCTATTATATATGTAGCTAAAGCTTATTCATATCTTAAGCTCAGCATTATATCTATATCATATAAGTATATTAACTAACAAACTCTAAAGAGTTTGCTATTATATAATTAGCTTAAGTTTAATCATATCTTAAGCTTAGTACTATCAGAGACCATATAATAAAGGGACGGCCCTCTAGCCAGTGCGCAAAACCATCAGCCCTACGGCTTGTACTGTGCAGCCTATCCGGAAGCTGGCAAAAACGTGTGTTGACTTCAGTCATTGATTTCGCGTATTTTCATTGCAAAGGTAAGATTTGATTTTTTTCATGTATTCTCATGCCTATACTTACATTTGCAACAGTGCATTACAGGTGTATTAGTGGTGCTAAAGCATATATTTGTCTTTGTATTTGATGAAAACTGTCATGTGTGCTCGCCGATTCTGTGAGAACAATGGCGAGGTGTAAAATCGGCAAAAGTCCCGGGATTTTGATTTTCAATAACGGATACTAATTCTCAATGCAAATCCTTAGTTACGGGGTGTAATGAAAGAAAATAAGATAAAGATTTGTATAGGGGCATTTATAAGTCTGTATGCGTTCAGCGTCATTCCTTATTTTGGCTCGTGCAATGCGATAAAATATGATGTTTTCGAAATATTTTTACTCCACAACACTTGATTTTCGCACGCTTTCACAAGAACAGCTTATTACTAGCATGTTTTAAATAAACATGTGAACATTCATTCGCGATTTCCTCTTTTTTGAACGTGGTACACTTTTATATATGGCTACGATCGGTATTTTTATTTTTATGATTTTTGGCGAAACCCATATTTGCGTCGTGATACTGAACATTTCAATTATCATGTAGCAGACGACATAACATTCATTTTGTTCATTAATATAACGTGAATATATATTTAAATCATTCTACAAAAGTCTCATTCACCTAATCGTTTGAAAAAAGTACATATTTCCATTATTGTTCATTTTGATGATTATATTTGTGGAAAAGGTCCTTATTTATCATGTAACAATTCAAATATTTTTCTGTTATCATTATTCTTCCTAATGAAGTTTGATTATGAGTTTACCTGGGCTTACACAGTACCTACAACCTGTCTTATGCAACAACAAAAATGAAAAATGAACTCATTATTCAACATTATATTTATATCATAAAATTATCATTTGTTTTGTAGATGCCCAGGAAAAAGAAAGTTTTCATCGGAAGGGCTACTCAAAGAGCCTACTATTAAGTACAATATTCCCATCTTGATTAAGTAGATATACCTTGTTTGAAAGAGCATTGGCAACCAACTATTGCATAATTTTAATTTCAAATTCAGTTTAGAGTTTATTTGCAACAGTTGAAATTCACATTTACTGTGTTTTTAATGAAAGAATATCTAAATGGTTGAATTTAGTAATACATCATTGTACATATAGATCTATGGTCCTATTCTACAATAAATACATTGTACATATAAGAACGTGTGATGTTGTGTTTTAATGTTATTGGTTGCATTTTCCTGCCAAGTTAAAGTTGACACTTTGCTGAAATTTTTTAATTGATAGGGTAATGTAGTACAGCCCATTTAACACATATATTTCATTGGCTCGGAGGCAAGTGACTTTAGTATTTAGTGGCTTCCCTTTGAAAAAAACCAACAAGTGTCTCCAAACGGCCCAAAGCATAATCACTGCTAGCCCCAAACTGGCATTATAAAAACATTAACGCTCTTGGAAAATGTGAAATCGTGTTTCGTTGGGACTATAAACTTTATAATAAACACCAGTCAGTCACAGGCCCTCGTGTCTTTCCGAGGATTCATGATTTTAATAATATTGTTTTTGAGATGACACCCGAAATTCGAAATGCTTCACAGTACAATACATAATGACAAGGCGGACACTTCTAGGGTGCACCCTACCCGACTTCTGCGATGCCGATCGCTATGCTACCATCGCATGCAATCGATTAAAACTTTATGTAAACATAATCATGGATGATTGGCCTATCGAGCAACACTCATGACACCTACCAATTCTTTATTGTTATTTCTGCAAGTCGATTGAAAACCAATTTTGACTCAACTAAACGATCTTGACACAAATGGATGACGATATGTCCGCACACAAAGAGGTGTGGTCGAAGCAAAGTCCTCTGATTGGCTAACGCTTGCAAATCTGCACATTCTTTATAAATTCAAGGAATTTTTACTTTCATCGACTGCTTGACCACACCGCGTTTTGTGCCAACGAATACTTGCAAGTAAATCTTGAGATTAGCCATGTGATGATACGTTTAGGGAGCATCGGGGATATTAACAACTGTAATGTTAAAACTGCCTTTACCTGACTGGGTTAGTTTGATTTTGTATTTTGAGTTTATATTCTCTGTCCTGTCGTAGTCTGTGAATTCTCCAAGTAAGTATCGAGGTCCAAGTTGGAATCATCCCAGTGAATGAATTAAGTCGCCCATGGCCATGCCGAATGTTGAAACAAATATTCCAGGCTTATGATCTACACGCATTTCGCGAATGATACATGTTCTGGCGATGTTGTCAGTTGACATGTGCAAATGAGAGATAAGATAAAAATTAAGATTATTGTAATCAGTTTAATGGAGCTGTCCATGTAATGCTTAACTGCCCAACGCAGCCGGTGAAATCCCGCTAAGGGAATTCACTCTCGGCCCGGATATTACGCAATATTGTTTACGTGGTTACCAGAGTGCTCATTTGCGAATGTCTGCGCATTTGTTGCGCATGTGTACCGGAAGAGGGAAGTTAGCAGCAGGGTGTCGATGTGTATCAGTTACATGCCAGGCCGTAGCGCTGATGGTTAGTGATAAACTGTTGGGGAGGGCCGTCCCTCTATTATATGGTCTCTGGTACTATGTTATATCTTAAAGTATTTTAGCTAACAAACTCTAAGGAGTTTATACTAGCATATTAACAAGCTTAAGTCTATTAGTCTTAAGCATTGTATTAATGTTATATATACTTTATCATAATAAGTACATGGTAATAACCTTTTATATGGCAGCTGATAAGTTAGCAGCAGGAATTCATCAGTTCAGTGCCTTTATGAAGTTCCCATAGGGTTATTACAATCATCACAGTTCAAATCACTAATTATTAAAAATCCAAAGTATTAGATATTCCCACCTCCGTTCCGTAGGATGCTACAAAGCAAAAGAGCATGAGTCAGGATAAGGAAAAATATGTAATTTTGGAGTAAAATTGATATTTTATACTTATCCTGACTCATGAGGTCAGCCCTCCCATCCTCCCCAAATAACACTTTGGATTTCCCTGTAAATTCAAATGTTGGGCTCAGTATATGAGGAGAGAGTGAGGCACATGGGTAGAGGTGGCGCCCTCGTTCACGCTCTTGTGGAAAGGAGGTAACTCGTGGTGAATACTAATTAGTGATTTTAAATTGAAGGGAGCTTCAATTAGGGAGATACAAGTGTTCCACTATGTTCGCAAGAAGAAGAAGACAAGCAAAAAGAGCATGAGTCAGGATAAGTATAAAATATCAATTTTACTCCAAAAATTACATGTTTGATTCACCAAATACTTGAGTGAATCGTAACAGCCCTAGTTAAGAAGGACACTGACTGTAGCAATGCTGCATATGTTGTTTGTTTGTTGTTTAACACTGCACACATGTTGTTTGTTGTTGTTTGAAATACCCCAGCTATATGCCGTTGAATGTTAATGGTTTACAGAAGAACATCGTCCATCGTGACCTGAAGCTGGGTAACATGATGCTCAACATGCGGACCCGGCGCATCACCATCACCAACTTCTGTCTCGGCAAACACCTGGTGTCAGAGAGCGACCTCCTGCGTGATCAGCGAGGCAGCCCTGCCTATATCAGCCCTGATGTTCTCAGTGGTAGGTCGTGCTAAAAAGTATAGTGTGTATTTTGTGAACAATCAACTGGGTTATTATCATTACTGCCCAGAGCATAGGGCTTTGAGGGGCTCTTTGCTTTTAAGGAACTTTGATCAGTGGTCTGTTACTCAGAGTGAAGCGCATTTCTGGTGTCCCCCACCATGATATTGCTGGGATATTGCTAAAAGCAACATAAAACCATACTCACTCACTGTTACACATTTCCAGCATTAATAAACTCTGTCCATTGTGTCTTCTGCCACAATTTTGTTGCAAATACCAGAGATAACATAAATCTCCATTTTAAAATATAATAGCACCAATAACAGAGATGCCAACCTTGAATCTAATGACAGTGGAGTCATAACTGGCTGGAAGTCAGGCCCAAGCACCAAATCTGCGAGTTAGGGGTGAGCACATGGTCGGCTCCACCATTTTGTTTCACTTATACATGGGCTATGACATGCATTCGGAAAAACTTGTGAATCTTCGCCATCAATAACACTCAATATACACAATCGAGACCCAAAAGATCACACGCTAAGCTTCTGAATGCTTTTACCAGTGTTGATTCAAATAAATCACCAAAAATTGTATACCATAAAAAATATTCAGATTTTTTTTCTGAAAAATTGGAGTTTTTAATGATAAATAGGAGAGCAGAATTTGTATTAGAAAATCGGAGTAACTTCGCCAGAATCGGAGTGGTTGGCATCTCTGCAATAAAATAAGTTCCTGATGCATGAAGAACAATTATAATCTTCATGAGCTAAATTAATTTTTAACAACAAACTTAAACAAAGTCTTGGAAATTGATGTAAAATTGAAGCTGTAATTCATCGAAGTTTTCTATTTCTCCTTGGATTCTCAATGTACACCTATGTACACTTTCAATCTGATTTGACTGTTACTGATGAATGTATTGTCTATGACATTTACAATGTTTGTTTCCTCTCGTCAGGCAAGCCGTACCTGGGCAAGCCAAGTGACATGTGGGCCCTTGGGGTGGTGCTGTTCACCATGTTGTACGGCCAGTTCCCTTTCTACGACAGTCTGCCAACAGAACTCTTCAGGAAGATCAAGTCTGCAGAGTACAGCATACCTAAGTGAGTCCCTGGATTTGGTACCCGTGAAGATCTGGTTATAATAGGTCATCACAAACCTTTGTTTGACGCAAGAGGCGACTAATGGAATCGGCTGGTCAGGCTTGCTGACTTGGTTGACACATGTCATCGTATCTCAGTTGGGTAGATCATGCTCTTGCTGTTGATCACTGGATTGTCTGGTCCAGACTATATACAGACTGCTGCCATATAACCGAAATACTGCTGAGTGCAGCGTCAACAACCGATGAACCAACCCTGGATTTGGTGAGAGGTTTTAGCTCTGGCCTGTTGGCCACCTGTGAACAGGACGCCACAGCGGCTGAATGGGTTAGATTGCTGACCTTGTGTACCTTGATGGGACTCAACAATCTGTACTAGAATCTGTACTTTACTGAGAAAATGTAATACCAAATATAACATATGTTACATGTACCATGATTCCCAGACCAGAATGGGATTCCGCAGGGATTGACCATTATACTTTCTGGCTGGTTCCTGGGATTTGTGTTATAAAGAAACATTTTGCCTCAGTTTTAACCTTTGAAAATAGGTCACTGGAAGTAGTAAGAAAATGTCTTCTCAGATGCCAGTTCATCTATCAAAGACAAAAAAGCATACATGTTACAGTGACAAAGCGAATTCTATCTCAGCCTGAAGTACTCAAAAGCCTGCTTCATCCTTTTGCAATCCTACCAGGTAGGATTATACCTCCTTCTTCCCTTGTATATACTCAATTTACAGATCTGGCTTCCTGAACATCTATATATATATTTGTCTTGTATTACTACACCAACTTCTAAATGCCATTGAAGAATTTCCCTACCATGTATCATCAGGCAACTTTATGTGTTTGCTGGAAATGTAATGTGATTGTTCTTAAGACTGGACTTCGACTAACCCCCAGTGTTGTGTTTGTTGTCAGTGATGGTCGTGTGAGCAAGGCCACAGTGCTGGTGATCCAGAGACTACTGGTGCTGGAACCACAGACTCGGATGACCGCAGGTCAAGTCCTGGATGACCTTGGGACAATCATTGCCACGTGGTATGTACAGGACATGGCACTGCTGTACAATCATTACCAACATTCAATCCCTACCTGTACAATCATTACCAACATTCAATCCCTACCTGTACAATCATCAAGATTCAATCACTACCTGTACAATCATCAAGATTAAATCTCTAACTGTAGAATTATCAATTCCTTTTCAATAGTCATAAGAAAAATTGAGAACATTCTTTCTATTTGAAAATGAATAAGTTCTAAATTTATAAATTTCTTAGGAAATGTTCGCATATTATAGGTGAGGTGGATTGAGTGTCATGAAAGAATGTAAATTATTTGAAGGCCCGTGAAGAATGGTAAACAAATGGGGGTAAGGGAGAGTGAGTGAGTGATTTTTTAGTTTTACGCTGCACTCAGCAATATTCCAGCTATATGGCGGCGGTCTGTAAATAATTGAGTCTGGACCAGACACCCCAGTGATCAACAGCATGAGCATCGATCTGCTCAATTGGGAACCGATGACATGTGTCAACCAAGTCTGACCAACCTGACCACCCGAACCTGTTAGTCGCCTCTTACGACAAGCATGGGTTACTGAAGATCAATATTCTAAACCGGACTTTCACAGGTCGGTAAGGGAGAGTATTTCAGCAAAATATGATAGTCCAAAGAGCAATCGAGCCAAACCCCCAATCCTCCACCCCTATGAATTAAGCCAATCATGATTAGTCTTTTCTTGTACATTTATACACAAACTAAATCACAAACTGTGCTATCATTTGTTTTTCATGCACATGGACAGTTCTATCTACCTTGTATTCCATATGAGCCCCAAGGGCTTAAATGTGTTAAGCATTCCATCCTTAGGAGAGCCCTGTCAACGACTTAATGTATTGCACCCCCTTAATCTGTGTAACATGATTGTTACTTTCCCTTCCAAGGAGAGCCTTGTCTGTCAGTGGACCAAATCAACAAGTGCCAGACCACCCACCTTCCAAGCCTGACCACCCTCCTGCCCTGCCTGTCCTAACCCAACCAAGTGACCTTGAGGTCAAGCTGCATCAGCTACAGTCAGACTCCCAGAATGATGCCAAGGCTCAGAAGGTTCACGTTGTAAGGAAAAGGCCGACCAATTCTCAGCCCTCAGTGAGGAGAATGAATGTTGATGCTATTCCTTTAACAGCAGATGAACTCCGTGCTCACCAACACCTTCTCCCAAAATGAGTGATAAGTGGATGTCTTATCTTCAAGGGACTGTTCCACAAAGGAATCTTAGTTCTAAGTTGAACGTACGCCCATACTTTAACATTGGCTTACCATTGTCGCATTACTGAGATCATTTTGTGGGACAGGGCCCAGTCTGTTGTCAGCAGCAGGCTGTGGGGATGTAACCAACCAGAGGCAGTTCTGCACAGTGAGTTGGTGAGGTTTTAACCAACCAGAGTCAGTTCTGCACAGTGAGCTGGTGGGGATTTAACCAACCAGAGGCAGTTCTGCACAGTTAGCTGGTGGGGATTTAACCAACCAGAGGCAGTTCTGCACAGTTAGCTGGTGGGAGCTGACAAACCAGAGACAGTTCAGCAGTGAGTTGGTGGGGATGTAACCAACAGAGGCAGTTTTGCACAGGTAGCTGGTGGGATCTGACTGTTATTGAGAGGTATTTTCTTCAGGGTCTTTTTGAATGCATATTTGGTATGACATTCTGTTGTGTAATTCATCAATGACACAATTTCATTGCATGTCATATTTACATCCATTAATAATCATGATGTTTGGACAATATAAATCCTCAAACTGCTACATGAAAGTATTGAAATGAGTGCAGGGATTGGGAAAGGCAGGGGCCATGGGCCATTTTGCACATTAGAATAAAAAATGGCCCATTAAAATTTGAAAGTTATTATTGATAGAAGGGCAGTGGCCCATTCTAAATTCAGAAAATTGCTAATAATCCTGAAAATGGCCCATTGTCAAAGTTCTCTATCTCAGTCCCTGTGAGTGTCACATGAACAAAGTGCTGAGTGAGTGAATTTAGTTTTACACCACACTCAGCAATATTCCAGCTATATCAACAGCATGAACATCAATCTACGCAACTGAGATATGATGAAATGTGTCAACCAAGTAGAGAGCCTGACCACCCAAACCTGTTAATCGCCTCTTACGACATGCATGGATTACTGAAGATCAATTCTAACCCGGATCTACACAGGTTACAAAGTGCTGACCTGCATGAAGATAATCATGTTCACTGTAAAGTAATGTGATGTTTCATTTGAGACATCTGCATGAACAATCTACAATATGGAGTATTTTGTCATGACATCTTGTGAAAAATGCTTTTGTACAGATGTATATAGTAAATCATAAATCTATAATAAACTGTGAAGTATGTAAATGTATTGTCATTTGTTGGCAGGCCAAGACGTGATCTAGTCTGTTAACTGGAATATCTAGTTTACCGGACTACAGCAATTGAGAACATAGATGCTTGTGTCATATCTTGAAGCTACATACACAAGCATACTGACATCCACACAGATGACATTCTGGGCCTAGATTTTCGAAGCTCTCTTAGAGCTAAGATAGTCGTAAGTGCCATACCTTTAACATTAACTTATGATTATCTTAGTGTTAAGAGAGCTTTGAAAATCTAGGCCCTGGAATTTAACCAGCCAGAGGCAGTTCTGTACAGTGCGTTGGTGGGGATTTAACCAACCAGAGGGCAGTTCTGCACAATGCGTTGGTGAGGATTTAACCAACCAGAGGGAGTTCTGCACAATGCGTTGGTGGGGATTTAACCAACCAGAGGCAGTTCTGCACAGTGCGTTGGTGAGGATTTAACCAACCAGAGGCAGTTCTGCACAGTGGTTTGGTGGGGATTTAACCAACCAGAGGCAGTTCTGCATAGTGCGTAGGTGATGATTTAAACAACCAGTGGCCGTATGCACATGTTGGGCGTAGTGTAACACACTACGTCGGGCTTAGCAGCGCCCTCCTCTTACACGTCATGCACAACGTCGGTTAAGCCTAGGCGTTACTACGCCCGGCTTAACGGATTTACGTCAAGGCGCGGTGTGCTATTTTTAGATTTTCGAACGTTTTTAAACCACCGGTAAAAGGCGCGAAACAACTTCGCGGTACATCCCTTGCAGCCGTAATCCTGGAAAGCCAAAGAAAACCGAGAAAACCCAACTTTACCGATGGATCCTGATGGAGAAATAACATGGACTTTCAAAATGGGCTTCACCATAAATGTCGCCATATTTGACACATTACGAAATCACGATTCACAGCGTTATTTGGTGTATGTTTTCAAATGTTCAAATCGGATAATTACTACTCAGATGTATTGAATTTCAAAAATAGCATATTAATGATCACTGATATCAGGTTTTCATGAAATCACTAATGGTAATTCTGAAAATACACGTGTAAACACGAACGCCGAAGTGCGCTTTCCGTCATATTGGATAGTGTTTACAAAATCAAGTTTCGCGGAGGACGGTAATGAGACGCCAATTACATCACGTGTATATCACATTTACCTGCTACAAATGCATCACTGAATTCCCCATACATTTTAGAATCAAATTACTAATGGTCTTTGTCACCAATATCAACTGTCTGGATAAAATGAAACGAAAGATATTGAGTGTCAAAAGTCCAAACGAACGCTGTGCTCGAAAGACATGCAGCCGTCTATTCATTGCTTGCAATGGCTCAATAGCTTTAGAATATGCATGGAAACAGTATCGTAGCAAGAAATGGGAAATTAAAAAAAGAAGCAATGCAATCATTTGATATTTCCTAAAAATATTGTCGAAGTGTCCGTGCAGCGTGACGCCATGACTGACGCAGAACGAGAAAGGTTTTTATCAGCATTTCTGGCTTCTTCTCTTACTTACAATGAAAACGATAAAACATATAACAATACACATATAGTCAGAATCATTCTGATTACTTACATCTCATATTTATGTACAAACGATCCCTGAATCAATGGAAGGGTCCTCGCAAAATCCTGTGTACCTTTGTCAGCGTGGCCGCCATTTCATAAGTAATCGGTCGGTGGTAGTGATGTCATACGTCAACATTGTTGTACATGTTAGACAATTTCTTTGAGGTGAAGGTCGGTTGAACAAGTGTAAACACAATCGCCCTATCCTTCCGATTACACTTTCTTTTAAGTTAAATTGATGCCAAACAGGTGCGCGTGTTGCTCACAATAAGATACGCAGTCAAACCGTCTAATTGTTGATATATTCAGGACACTATTTAATTGGTAAAATCATTCATTTTATGTATGGTCTAAAGAGTGTTAAATTCAGACATAGAAGCCGAGACCTTTCATACAATTAATGGAATTTAGGTTAGATATATACTAATCAGCAAACCAATGTCGTCTTTTTCAGACGTCGCAAAATGCATATAACAAGCCATGACGTCAACTAAAATGTTGTATTATTATCAGTAATTTCAGTACATTTGAAGATATGGCTAGTACTCCGTTAATAATGATGCAAAATTAGTCAATATACATCTACACAAACTGGAGAATATGGGAATCTAAGAACTAACTTACATATCGGATAGGGCCATCCAAATCGCTATTCTGCTTTCTCAAGTAGTACATTGCCATCTTTTCTTATAAATTGTGAAACTACCAAAACGTATCCGCTCACATTGGGGAACTTTGTAATGGAATAGGTTGGTTCACCGTAAACACAACATAACGAAAATATAGCGTAAGTATCCACAACAACTTTTCTCCAAGTGATCTGAGTAACATTGACCTAGTGTTAAGCATAACTCAGTTATGCCCCCTTATCTTTTATACGAGTATGACCTCCCTGTCGTCAGTTGACGTCATAGAAGAAAATCCATTTTTGACACTTTTTGCGAGTCATTTTTAATGTTGAGCGTCTAACGTTATGCATTAGCACATAAACCCAATTCATATACACTTATGTCGTTCAGATATCAGGCTGTATTTTCTTCGCTCACACTTTCTGTAAAGATGCCAGATTAAAAAAATCGTAGCAGAGTGCTTTTATCGGTGCACGACAAAAAGCGGAGAAATTGACAGTTTGTTAGCGCGTAACAAAATTTTAGACAACATTTAGCAGTGTCTATTTCTCAAACCGCCGAGGTAGTCGCACTTATATTTATACCAACGGATATGAAATTAAATATTCTACACTTCTGTGTAATTTTATAGCCATACGCAGATCCAGGACCACGCGAGCGCAATTCTCGCACAACGTTCACTTTTAAAAACTTTTGAAAATGTGCGCCTGATAAAAAACTCGGCATCCAGTGCCGCCATTACAAGGCTACGCCTGCTGGGTAGGTGGCGTAAATATAGAGCGCTACGACTGGCGTAACTTTAACTACGTCTACTATGTGCATACCGGTTAATGTTACGTCCGGGCGCACATTTTACTTACGCCCGGACTAGAATTTACGCCCGACATATGCATACGGCCACAGAAGCAGTTCTGCACAGTTAGCTGGTTGGGATGTAACCAACCAGAGTCAGTTCTGCACAGTGGTTTGGTGGGGATTTAACCAACCAGAGGCAGTTCTGCACAGTGCGTTGGTGAGGATTTAAACAACCAGAAGCAGTTCTGCACAGTTAGCTGGTGGGGATGTAACCAACCAGAGTCAGTTCTGCACAGTGAGTTGGTGGGGATTTAACCAACCAGAGGCAGTTCTGCACAGTGCGTTGGTGAGGATTTAACCAACCAGAGGCAGTTCTGCACAGTGCGTTGGTGGGGTTTTAACCAACCAGAGGCAGTTCTGCACAGTGTTTTGGTGGGGATTTAACCAACCAGAGGCAGTTCTGCACAGTGCGTTGGTGAGGATTTAAACAACCAGAAGCAGTTCTGCACAGTTAGCTGGTGGGGATTTAACCAACCAGAGTCAGTTCTGCACAGTGCGTTGGTGAGGATTTAAACAACCAGAAGCAGTTCTGCACAGTGAGCTGGTGGGGATGTAACCAACCAGAGGCAGTTCTGCACAGTGAGCTGGTGGGATCTGACAAACCAGAGGTAGGTCTGCACAGTGCGTTGGTGGGGATTTAAACAACCAGAGGGAGTTATGCACAGTGCGTTGGTGGGGATTTAAACAACCAGAGGTAGTTCTGCACAGTTAGCTGGTGGGGATTTAACCAACCAGAGGGAGTTCTGCCCAGTTGATTGGTGGGAATTTAACCAACCAGAGGTAGTTCTGCCCAGTGAGTTGGTGGGAATTTAACCAACCAGAGGTACTCTGCCCAGTGAGTTGTTTGGGTATTTAACCAACCAGAGGGAGTTAACACAATGAGCTGGTGGGTATTTAACCAACCAGAGGCAGTCCAGAAAGGGCTCTGCATAAGGAGCTTGACTTTCATGCAAACATTATAAGCAGTGTATAGAAAATAACACCTATATATTCTCTGCCTGTTGACTGTCATAAGCATAAAACAGCAAGAAGCAAAGCATTAACATTTAAAATAATTTCTTAACAGTAACAACTGTAAGTTTAAGTCAAATAAATAAACACTATTTATACAAAAAAACAATACATCACGCTAAATTTGTAAATATTAAACTGCAGGCCTTTGAGCTGTTGAAAAGATTCAACAGACAAACAGTTTCAAGGTATAGTAAACAGTGATGATTAGGTAATAATATTCTGCCCAAAACAATGGCTTGGGCATTTAGTAATGCTGTTATCACAGATAAAATCAATTCATAATAAATAGCAACTCTTTAGTTACCCTAACCCTTCTAGATTAAGGTTTCTTTAAACAGTGTGAGAAATCAGGATATGTTGTTCCATCATGGTGGTTAGCTGTGACAGCAGGTTCTTTAAACAGTGAGATATCAGGATATGTTGTTCCAACATTATGTGCCTGAGCCATGATGCATATTTTTTGGATGATATTGACCCTGTGTTGCTAATGCCACAGAGACAATGAGATTGCCACAAACACCATGTACAGCGCCACTGAAGAAGTAGTCATCGAGGCACCACCTGAAACAACAAACATCTTTAGTGACAAGGATAACATGCAAGAAAGGGTAGTGCAGTGTGCAAAATAGCTACTAGCCCGCTAACCTGTGGCTAGTAAAAATCCAGTCAGGTCAGTAAATCTCCACAGTCACTGGCTGTGACTGGCAAGTGAATTTTCATGCTGTCATTTTGTAAATATACCACTCTCTCCAACTTGTTAAGTTATAGCACACTTTCAAATCATGCAAGATTATGGCCTGATAAAAATGATCATCATATTAGCAGCTTAATGATGAAACACGTGTCTATATTCAAATTTCAGACTAGTGAATTATTCTGTGGGCTAGTAACTTTCAGGCATAGCTAGCCCAACTGGCTTGCAAAATTTGGAAACTATTTTGCACACTGGTGGACAGTGGTGGTGATGTTTCATGATTCCATTTTTAACCTGCATCCTATTAGAGATGTTTCAGCTATAAAAACGATGTGCTTCATGTTTCTCAATTCTCACCCAACCCTATTCTTGAGCCCCCCATATTAACTTGAGTTCCACCATAGCCTTATCATCATCTTGAGCTGTATTTTATATCAAGTACAAATTTGTTGAACCTTGCTGATGTAGGTAAACCAGTCAATATTTTCTTTTGAAAGCAATTTTTTACTGACTCTGCAAATAACATTTATCACAAAACATACAAAACAGCCAACCCACCAATGTACCTTATTCTTGGATACCACTAAACGCTCCACAAAATTTCAGTATGTACTTTTCTTCGCCTTTACAGCAGCAAACAGTATTACTCATATTTATACGTTACTGGGTGTCTATTAACACAAGCTCCCTGGATAATAGCACAAACAACTTGACTATCAACGGGATCATGTAACAGATTGTTGAGGTCAACCAGGCAAGTTTGCCTGGCCCAGACTCGTCACTGCTGAGCCATAGAAGTGACTTCTGTTGTCACTAGAGTGGTATAGCATGAAGACAGGTCCTGTCAGTGGTGGGTGGCTAACCCAAGCATACAAGTCTGACATACACCACTGAGCAGATGGTACCATGCCAGTATGTCATTAACACTGCACTCAGCAATTTTCCAGCTATATGACAGTGGTCTATGCATAATTAAATTTGCACCAGACAAGCCAATGACATGAGCATCAGTCTACACTATGGGGATATGATGAAATGCCAACCTGACCAGCCAGTGGTGTGAGTCACGTGTTTAGGCAAGCAAAGCTTGCTACAGACCAATTCTAAACCGGATCTTCAAAGATGAGATGGTCCCAGGTGAGTGAGTGAGTGAGTTTAGTTTTACGCCGCACTCAGCAATATCCCAGCTATATGGCGGCAGTCTGTAAATAATCGAGTCTGGACCAGACAATCCAGTGATCAACAGCATGAGCATCGATCTGCGCAATTGGGAATTGATGATATGTGTCAACCAAGTCAGCGAGCCTGACCACGCGATCCCGTTAGTCGCCTTTTGTTGCAAGCATGGGTTGCTGAAGACCTATTCTACCCCGGATCTTCACAGGTCAGATGGTCCCAAGTTGTGTTAGTTGTCCCTGTATATCAGTTGGACCTACAGTACTGGTTTATTTGCTTGTTAACTCAATATTCAATTTCCTTGTATGTGATAGAGACCTGTGGTAATCAAGACGGACCAGACAATCCAGTGACTGATATCAAGCAACATTCCCCTGGCCAGGTTGAGATGCCACTCTAACAACTAACATATGTAGATCACCCATCCAATCAATTCAGCCACCTCTCCACACCAACAGGTTGTTGGTGAGCTACTCAAATTCCCAAAGGGCAGTCTGTTTATAACATTGATATGGTAAATAACATACTTGTAAGTTCACAATTGTCGAGATTCTCAATTACAGTTTTCACAGCTGTGATGGCGACATCGAAGATAATTTTGGCAAAAAGGCTACATGATGATGATTCATCCCTCAGACATCTATAGTAGGCGTTCTGCTGCCTGGAACAGAGAGAACTGCATGAGACATTGGAACTACAAGGGCATGTCTGGCATGATGATGATTCATCCTGGAACAGAGAGAATTCATCCCTCAGACATCTATAGTAGGCGTTCTGCTGCCTGGAACAGAGAGAACTGCATGAGACATTGGAACTACAAGGGCATGTCTGGCATGATGATGATTCATCCCTCAGACATCTATAGTAGGCGTTCTGCTGCCTGGAACAGAGAGAACTGCATGAGACATTGGAACTACAAGGGCATGTCTGGCATGATGATGATTCATCCTTCAGACATCTATAGTAGGCGTTCTGCTGCCTGGAACAGAGAGAACTGCATGAGACATTGGAACTACAAGGGCATGTCTGGCATGATGATGCTTCATCCCTCAGACATCTATAGTAGGCGTTCTGCTGCCTGGAACAGAGAGAACTGCATGAGACATTGGAACTACAAGGGCATGTCTGGCATGTTGTTCGAAAATTGTAAACAAACAAAGCTACTGTAGCATCTATTAGAAAATAAAAATTAGAATGGTGCAATCAGATTTGGGTGAGAAAGCAGGTAAGGCAAGACCATTATCTATGTAAATTTTAAATGTAAGTTGAAAATGTTATATTTGTGCACTTAGAGGAAGAGTGAAAGAATGAACACTACTCAAGATGTTTCATGAGGTGTATTGATGCAATATTCTGGAGAGACTTTTTTCTGTTACTGCTGCTGCTACTACTAGTGTTGGGAATTGGTTAAAATCTCATAATTGATGATTGGTTCATTACAACCGATCAATAATTGGTTATTGTCATTTATGAAATGTTCCTGGTTATTTTTGTTAATGCTCAAATAAGGGGAAAAAAACATGTAGTTCTTTGGGGGTTTTTGGTGCAAAATTTCATATCTTTAAAGGATGACTAGTATGTAAGGAAGTTAATTTCTTAGAGTCTTTAAGATATATTCAATCATGACTTGGAACGAGATTGTAGTGCTTATGAAATTTAACAGACAAAACCAACCTTGTGAAATATATTGTTAATGAAAACAAGTGTTCCAGAATTGTTTGTGCTCGAATATGAGAAAACATGATCGATTGCTTGGTCATATAGTCACTGCGACCAATCTTCGATTATTTCAATTAATCAGACCACCACTAGCTACTACCATTGCTGCTACTGCTGCTGCTCCTGCTACCAGGTCTGCCCACCTGTTCTGGCACAGACTCATAGGACTAGCACACTGCGAACTGCTGGCTGAGTGAAACCAACCCTCCCAGAAGTGTTTTTCACTTTCAAAGGAAGTTCTCAAGTGTTCTCTTTTCTTGTGAAGATTAAGTGATTTAGCTGAAGACAGACCCCACAGACTTCAAGATTTTCTATTGTCAATTTGGACTAAAAACACTCTGCCTTATTTACGCTCTAGACACACTTTATGAGCAAATGAGGTTATTTTCATTACCAAATAGAGATGTGCTTCAGATGTTGCTGAGAAAACATAGGTTACTGGTAGATCCTAAGTTACTTACGCACAGAAAGCACTTGTGTCATTTGATGTGCTGTTCATAGAAGCGGGTGGAACTGTACAGGCTATTAAGTCACAATCACCCTCTGCCATTGGGATGATCCACATAGCAGCCACTGAAGAACAAGCACAGGATCAAGGTAACCGATCAAGAATTTGGGTCATAAAGCTGTCCATATTTTTTCCTGGTTTCCCATCTCAAGCAGCAAACCCAAACTTTTCATTCCCACATAAAATAACACTTTTCCATGCCTTTGTGAAAATTCATCCCCAGGTGTGATAAAATCTTTAAATGACTGGTACCCTTGCACACACATAAAGAAGATGGTGAGCTTGATCTTTCTTCATCTACATTTCTTCTCCCACAAGAAGCCAAGGCATAACTCCAAATTCACTTGTCAGAGAAGTCACTGAAAACAATGTGTGCTTTTAAGTGGTCCAAATGTGCATTTTTCAAGTGAACCCACATGAACAATAAAACTATTAAAGTCCTGAGGGCAGGCAGGAATGTGATTAGGCATTCTTCTGTCACTTCTAACAGGGTTGCCACAGATGACGAAAGTTCAAATTCCCTGACCAATTTGATTTGTCACTGATCAAAATTAAAAGAAAACAAATAAAATTTCGGGCCTCCAAACTCCCCAACAGACGATCTTTCCACACATTTTACTAAAGACAAAGTGAAATCTTAAGACAAAGTTATCAGATGTAATCAAACAAACACAGAGATCCATCTAACATCAAGATGAAGTATATTACACAGAAATATTACCTCAGGTAAACACTGACATAAGAGTTTTGATTTATTTAAGTTTTTAATTTCAATGATTTTATTGTCAGAAAGTCGCAGTTACAAGATTGAGGATTACCTCCAGGAAAAGGGTGACTCATTTGTACAGTATGAAATCTTACTGGTAGAAATTCTGACATTTTCCGAAAAACAAACAAACTCATTCACACTAATACTGTTGTGAGTTTAAAATAAACTGCTAGCTTTTCTCTGTGTCTACTTTTCACTTATAATATATTTTCACCCCCAAATATAAAAAGTTCAACAGAGAGCTTGAGATTGAATATGTGGTCACATTTCTGTGTCAACCATCCATGGAAGTTATTCCAAATGTCTACATATGGACAATGCCAAAACAAGTGAATTAAAGTGAATAATACAAATCTCTATACAAAAACACATTTAATACACACATTGAACTCCAAATCATACAATTGTTGCCTCTGTGAAGTCTGAAAAGAACTAGTTTTCCCTGACCAAAGGCAATTTTCCCTGCCTTTTTTTCCAAAACCCTGATCTTGAAAAAATCATTTCTTCCCTGACTTTTCCCTGACCTGTGGCAACCCTGTTCTAATCTGAAACTATTCGGGTTTTTTGTTCCGCATGTTTTTACTGAAATTTAGATAACAGCTAGACCCTTCAAACGCAAACTTAGTTATTTTAGCGATGTGCCTCAAATAGATCTACTGTACTTAGAAAGGTTTACTCACAGCGGAGCCCCTGAACACACCTGTCCAGAATGGCAGAACCTAGTATTCTTGCCCTCGATTTTTGGCCCCCGTTCATAGCTAGAATAATGCTAAATAAGGCATGAAATAACAAGCACATATACTCCAGATTATGAAATGAAGGTTTTCCTGGGCAATACTGCACGTTGCAGATCGCCGTTATTTTCTTAACCCCCTGGCTGCCGAGTTTTTTTTCAGGCGCACATTTTCATAGCTTTGAAAAGTGAACGTTTTGCGAGAATTGCGCTCGCGTGGTGCTGGATCTACGTACGGCTATAAAATTACACAGAAATGTAGAATATTAAATTTCCTATCCGTTGGTATAAATATAAGCGCAAAAACCTCTGCGGTTTGAGAAAGAGACCTTGCTAAATGTTGTCCAAAGTTTTGTTATGCGTTAAAAAACAGTAAACTTCTCCGCTTTTTATCGCTCACCGATAAAAGCACTGTGCTACGAATTTCCTTTTTTTGCATCTTTCCGGAAAGAGTGAGCGAAGAAAATACAGCCTGATATCTGAATGACATAAGTGTATATGAATTGGATTTATGTGCTTATGCATAACATTATACGCTCAACATTAAAAATGGCTCGCAATAAATATCAAAAATGGATTTTTTCTATGACGTCAGACAACGACAGAGAGGCCATACACGTATAAGGATAAGGGGGCATAACCCCGTTATGCTTAACACTAGGTCAATGTAACTCAGTTCACATGGAGAGAATTTGTTGCGGATACGGACGCTATATTTTCGTTATTTTTTGTTCACGGTGAACCAAACTATTCCCCAATGTGAGCGGATGTGAGCGGATACGCTTTGGTAGTTTCACAGTTTATAAGAAAAGATGACAACGTACTACATGTGAAAGCACGTAATAGCGATTTGAATGGCCCTATCCGATATATAAGTTAGTTCTTAGATTCCCATATTCTGAGATTCTCCTGTTTGTGTAGATGTATTTTGACTAATTGTGCATCGTTATTACCAGAATACTAGCCATATCTTCGAATGTAATGAAATTGCTGAAAATAATACAACATTTTAGTTGACGTCATTGCTTGTTTTATGCATTTTTGCGACGTCGGAAAAGGACGACATTGGTATGCTGATTAGTATATATCTCACCTAATTTCCATTTACTGTGTGAAAGGACTCGGCTTCTTTGTCAGAATTAACATTCTTTAGACAAAACATAAAATGACTGTTTTTTCCATTTAAATAGTGTCCTGAATATACCAACAATTAGACAGTTTGACTGTGTATCTTATCATGAGCAACACGCGCACCTGTTTGGCATCAATTTAACGAAAATAAAAAATAACATTTCACAACACCCGAATATTTTGTTAAGGATAAGAATTTTCTTTATTTATGACTATGTAGCTATTTCTCTTCATAAGTATGCAATGGAAGATGCAAAAAGATAGCTTTTTATATATGGAACTAGTACGTACTAAATATTAGAATATGGATGTAAGATTTGTCCAAATTAATTAAGACATGACATGGTATATATATTTTTAAACAATTTTCGTATAAATATAGTTAGAGTTTGATATCCTGTCATCACAATATTTTTAAATCGAATATGAATTGATTATATTATCGAAAACAATGATAGTGAATCATAAAACGTTTCCGACAAACCCGCACCTGGCCAATCAATATACATAATTGTTTTCTATAAAACGACACAAAATGTGTAATGAACAAGACAATTCCTTTAAATGTGTGTGCATATACGTTTCATAACATACATAAATCATTTTCATTAAATATTATCAGTTTTACATATATATTTAATCAAATCGCCGTTCATTAACCTGCTCATGTGAAACTGCAATATTAGTTCAAATGCATTGAATATTGTACATCATAGGAACTAAAGTAATTGCAGTTATGGCTACGTTTGATCTTCTAACACTTGTGCAAAGGTTTAGAATATGGTGTACTGCACTAAATGTGTCAATATCTTATGTAAATATGATTCAAACAATCAAAAACTTTCAAAGAATAAAGCACCGTAAATCCTATATGCACGTATGATATGATATTGGACAAGGCTAAATGTAGATACTGAGGTCAGTTTCATAAAAAAGTATCTGAACTATCCGCAAAATATACATCATAATACTGACAGTGTAATCGGAAGGATTGGGCGATTGTGTTTACTCTTGTTCAACCGACCTTCACCTCAAAGAAATTGCCTAATATGTACAACAATGTTGACGTATGACATCACTATCGTTTACCTATTTCTTACAAAATGGCGGCTTTGCTGTCAAGGATACACAGGATTTTGCGAGGACCCTTCCATTGATTCAGGGATCGTTTGTACATAAATGTGACATGTAAGTAATCAGAATGATTCTGACTATCTGTGTATTGTTATATGTTTTTATCGTTTTCACCGTAAGTAAGAGAAGAAGCCAGAAATGCTGATAATTACAGTTGTCGTTCTGCGTGATTTTGCGTCAGTCATGGCGTCACGCTGCACGGAAACTTTGACAATTTCTTATGAATTATCAAATCATTGCATTGTATCTGTTTATAATTTCCTATTTCTTACTACGATACTCTTTCCATGCATATTCCAAAGGTATTGAGCCATTGCAAGCAATGAATAGACGGATGAATGTTGAAAAATTTCAGAAAATGCTACGCAGTGTAAAATCGGAATTTGTCTTTGTTTACATTTCGAACCTGCGCAGTCTTTCGAGCACAGCGTTCGTTTTCACACCCAATATGTTTCGTCTCATTTTATCTGGACAGTTGGTATTGGTGACAAAGACCAGTTGCAATTTGTTTCTAAAATGTATGGGGAATTCAGTGATGCATTTTTCGAAGCTGAATATGAAATATACGTGATGTAATAGGCGTCTCAACACCGGCCTTCGCGAAACGTGATTTTGTAAACACTATCCAATATGGCGTAAATAGAATACTACACGAGGTCTCATTACATACGAATTATACGAAACGAGTGCCCTTCCTGTGGTATCTGACCGAGCGAAAGCGAGGTCAGATAACATAGGAAGGCCACGAGTTTCGTATAATTCGTATGTAATGAGACCGAGTGTGGTATTTTATTTATTACCCACGTCTTACATGCATTTAACTGACAAAATAGCGTATTTTTGTTAATATTTTGGTTTCAAACCGAAACCGGTTTCATAAAGGGGTTGCGGAAGAGTTTTGTACTGTAGTACAATATTTGCATGACGTCACACCAAAATGACGTCACTGCCTTGGTAACCGACGTCACGATGCATGTCAGTTGTCATCGCCTCGTACAGCCTCCTATAGTAAACTACTCCGTAGCACCCTGTTTCTTGGTTTGCAGTTGCTTCATTCGGCTAACATCACTGGTGGAAACATTGCGTTTATGTTTTTCGACGGATATAATGTCTCAGTTCGACTCACAATTAAACAGCGACACGGCAACGTTCTCGATGCTTACATTCCCACAATGCATTTAAGTTGTAGAATGAATGAATTCGCGTGTTTGTTATGAATGAAAATATAGTTACGTCAGAATGTGACCTAATTGAGAGGTCATCGGTTATCCAATCAAATCGTTAGAATCTCAGGTCAAGTCGTTACGACACAGGTCAACGCGATACGACACACGTGTGACGTACGAGATTAGTATGCAACTACCCATACGTTGACCACGTGGGTAATAAAGCGCTATACGGCGTTCGTGTAAGTGCATTTTCGAAAACATCCCAACCGATTCTAGATTCATCGGCAACGTTTCAGAATTATAATGAGCGATTTCATGTAAAACTGATATCAGTGATCATGAATATGTTATTTTTGAAATTCAAAAATGGCGACATTTTCGATGAAGCCTATTTTGAAAGGTCATTTTCAGCACTTGAGCTTTGTCTAAAATAATAGTGGGTGGTATCAAGAAACAGGAAATTTCCCGCAGAATTCGAAACTGTGAAGTGTATTTGTGTGCGTGAGATATTTTGATTTTTATTGGACTTGAAATTGAGGGTTGAAGGGGAAGGACATATATGTCCCTGTGGCATCCAGGGGGTTAACATAATACGCTTAGTACCGAGCATGAATACTTACTGATTCATAAAACATTCGCGATAACTGTTCACTGAATCAGTTTCATAATCTGACATTAATTCTGGTTGTTGTTTACGTAAATAATGTCAACTACTGCGCGTCATGTGTTTCGCCTCGTATTAGATCTGAACAGAAATTAGATTATATCTACTTTTCAGCCGACAAAATAAACGCTTTACTATATAAGACGTGAGTATATAAGATCAAGAAATCTAATGCTGAACTGTGACATCTTACCACAGGCTACAATCACTGATGTTATGAAGTTCATCATGGAGTATGTTGACAATACCAGTTGACGTTCACAAACTGCTAAACTTGGCGCCACTTCCGTTTGACGCCTGCTACCAGGCAGTTTTCAGGGAGGCAAACAGCGCTGTGGGGAGCTTGCGTTCGAACGTCATAATCGGTTATTCCGTCACGCACTTCTTCCCAGAGTACCTTGCGGTAAACCAGTAAGCGCGGGAAGAATGTTAACCTTCCGACTAAGGCTCGCAACTCTTGTCGTCTTTACTATGATAATGAGAATTAACTCCCTTCGTATAGTGTAGCCGATGGCGCGATAAGTAGTTCTGTAATCAACATTTCAAGTTGAACCTTTTCTAAAACATGCTTTGGAGAGGTTGCATGATATTCTTTGACGAGGTTGATGAATGTCTGTGTTCCGGCCAGTTGAGCTCTGCACAACCATCAAGAGGTTCCAGTCCCATCATAAGTTCGCCCTCATGCCTTTATTGCCTGTGGATAATCTGTTGAGTGAGTAAGTGAGTATGGTTTTACGCCGCTTTTAGAGCTATTCCAGCAATATCACAGCAATGGGCTTCAAACATTGTACCCATATAATTTGTTGAGCATACCGAGGAATGTGAAATTGTGAATGCATAGATGTAATTTATATTTAACAGGGGCGTAGGAACGCTTTTCAGAGCGGGGTAGCTAATTTATGAAAAGTATTGAAAATCAAAATGAAATTGTAGTTATGGTAAGGTAGATATGGTTTCGTCTTGAAAAAAAAGTGGAGGGGCTCAGCCCCCACAAGCCCCCTCTGTTCCTACGCCGTTTAACAAGACTCAAACTCGTCGAAATAGGAGCTAGGACTAACCGGATTTTTACGGCAGGGCACTGAGATCACAATATAAGGTCGCTGTGACCCGTTTTTGTGTGTAATCGAAAACAGTTCCATCACAGGCATGGATAATCCATCAGTGAGACAATATGTATGATAAAATATCTCAACATTTTATTTCAAAGGAAATTTGGTTACAACAGCAAAAAGATTTCACCTTAACATCACAAACGTGATTATCATTAGTGAGTGAGTTCAGTTTTACGCCGCACTCAGCAATATCCCAGCTATATGGCGGAGATTATCATTAAATGCAGCACGATCGATTAAACGCTAACCAGTCGTTTAGCAGAAACTAATCGAGGAGAATTGTATTAGTTGGTAGGAATGAATCTTTGACCCTGTTTGTCGTAAACATCGGTATCCGCAGTCAGCGACCAGATGGAGTGAGTTTAGTTTTACCCCGCTTTTAGCAATAATTTTATTCTAGCACTGTAACAGCGGGGAACACCAGAAATTGGCTTTACACATTGTTTCCATGTGGGGAATCGAACCCGGGACTTCGACGTGACGAGTGGATGTTTTGACCACTAGGCTACCCCACCACCTCCAGCTACCAGGAGGAAGACGTTGATACCCCGAAAATAAAACATGCCAGTTACTGCTTGATATTAATATTTGCTTTATCAACTTTTTGTAATTTTGTTGATGTCGAGATGCCTGTGAATTCATTTATTTGCGGCGTCACAGATTATAAGGCGTTTGTTTTACTTGCCAAGACTGGCCAAGAGACATGTTTCACTACCAGCTTACCGTTTACCAAGTTTACTTCAGAATACAGCCGTCTTTCTCTATTGGTTTCACACAGAATTGTTTTATGTACAGGTTTCTGGTTAACCTATTGTTTCAACTTCCGTATCGACACATTACAATACCCACAACTGTACAATATACTATGTATGTATTTCGTTTTTGCACCCCATTTGGGCAAGAAATCAATGAGGGTCCAGACCGCCTCTGTTGTGTAGTGGTTAGAGCGTCCGCCTCCGACCGCGTCATACCAAAAGACGTTAAAATATGGTATACTTGTTGGTCCCTGCCTGGCGCTCGGCATTAATGGGTACAAGGACTGGTCCGCTCGCAGTCAGTATAATGTGCATGTCTGAGTGGGCCATGCTTGACTGCGGCATGGTATCTCAGTGGGCTAGCACTATAAAACCTAGCTTAAGTCTGGGCTAGTACAAGCAGCCACACATACACACGCATGCACATTGTATGCATATGAGCGAAATATTCTCAAGCATGACGTTAAACCCAATTTCACCTCACCTCACCTCACCTCAATGAGGGTCCCCAGTTATTAATGCTGACCTACAACTTCTACTATCTGGTTATCAATAGTAACTGATTTAAACATGACTTATCTTTTCTCAAGATCTATAACAATTTCCATTGTTTACTGAACATTTAAAAGCAGAGACTGGACCAGACAATCCAGTGATCAAACAGCATGAGCATCGATCTACGCAACTGGGATACGATGACGTGTCAACCAAGTCAGCCAGCCTGACTACCCGATCCTGTCAGTCGCCTCTTACAATCATGGATTACTGAAGTTCAATTCTAATCGGGATCTTAACGGGTCTATTTGGACTGAAGACTCAGATGTTCTGAATGGTGGAAACGTGAGTGAGTTTAGTTTTACGCCGCACTCAGCTATATGGCGGCAGGAATGGTGGAAAAAAGACCTGCAAGTGCAGAAGCATATGTAAATTCCACTAAGACTAAACTGACATCCACAATAAAGTGCACATCTGATGTTTTGGGGTTGAAAGTGTTTTGATTGTGACTTCTTTTTTTGTAGTTTTTTATTTTGTTGCATTTTTCAACATTTTATACAAACAAATAACAGTGGTATTCCCGTATACATGATGAACAATCAAATAGTTTTAGCAGAATAAATCATGACATGAAGTAGTAGATATAATGATTGTCCGGGACCAAGTCCAACAAAAGCCTCTGCAAGGCTTTATTTCACAAATAAAGCTTTTGTCAGGCCCTTAGATCCTGCCCGAGTATATCTACTACTTTTGAGCCCCCAGTTAACTTCCCCGCCACGCGTGACATTATAAGAATCTCATTTTCGCTAGGGCAACCCATTTTTTCAGCAACCACAAATCCATTTTTTCGACCCGACACCAAGGTTGCTCGAACTTCCAATTGGACATATAGAGTTGCTACAATATACAGGATACACTCAGACAACAAAAACTATGGCAAAGCAAATTGCAGCAACTTTCCAAGAAATGGGCATTGGGTGCAGCAAATCGATCACACACCACCTCCTACTGGAAAACACGCACGACAACAACCTCGTGTCCGATATCTCAATGGTAGACTATCTCGCCGGAAATCTCGGGGAAACCCACATGCAACCACTCTCCGGCCTTCAACCCTTTGTCGACGACCTCTACGTGTTTGGCTATCTATCTCGCAAAGACATCGTGCAGCACAAGGGAAACGTCCAATGTACGACGGGAGAGCACGGCCACGGGAAAAAAATTGTCGGACTAGTCCACTGGATACTACGCACCACCTACAAAGAGCATACCGAAGCCACCAAAATGTATGCGACACTTCTCCACACGGTGCAAAAGACGAGTGCAGGACCTATTGCCAGCACAATCCAAAAGATCGAAAGTGAAACGCAGCAGATATCGCTACGAGCATGGAAAGCCCAAAACGACGAAACCCCTTTTGCAGTCTTTGTGGCCAAACTGGACGTCTCCGAAATCGGGATCGACCAACTCCAAGAGAAATTGTCCAATCTAGAAACAAAACTACAAGGCAATGGACTACAGCATCGACTACACCCGAGACTATTCCGGCGTCCTAGACCGCAAACAGCTTGTGCAATTCCTCTGTAGCCAACATGGATTTGTCAAGCAAGGCGATCTCGTGGAAGCGATCGAAAGCGGAAAATCCACCATCCTGGACAACACCCACTCGGTCGGCAACCATGTTTGCACGTGGGTAGAGACAACAAAGTCCGGCAAAATGATGCGCACCAAGCTGTACAACAAAGTCGTTTACAACTTCGAAGCCGGAGAAATCCGAGAACCAATTGGTGGCCATCTTGCCGACTATGTGGATTGTCCAAACGAGCATCTCCGGAAAACCTTTCTCCACCCAGACGTACAACAACGAGGTTGCACTCGCATAGAAGTGTCCCTGTACCCCTGCCAAGACACAGACATGTCCACCAACAGAGCAGAAAACGTTTTGCAAGACGTGTTGGAGCGGGTTTCGCCAGCAGGCGACGGTCTATTCGTAGTACAACCAGCAGCAACGCAGTGGCTTCGTCTCGCAGAAAAGATAGACCACTGTTTGGTCCTAGCCGACCGTCCACAGCAAACGATCTTCGTTGCGTGGTACGCACATTCGAAAACAGGACGCGTGTCCGGGGTACACATTCGTCCAACCAACACAGAATCCTGGGACAAAACCATCGACTGGGCCATAGGAGACTTCGGTTTTCGAAGGGTTCCAATATTCCGCGTGGACATCCTATCGGTAGAAGGAGATACAGTGGAACTAGACCCACTCCGATGCTATGCCAAAGGCGAGAACACCAAGACAGTGCTAGCTGCCAGCAAGAAGCCAACAGCTCTACATCCATCCGACATGGATCCAGACATATTTCTCCCGACAACTCCCCACATCGAATGGTGATGGAGGCAGAAAAAATGCCAAAAGCTGGGCAGAGAAGGATCCGACCAACCTTTCCAAGAAATGCCGAACATAGCGGCCAATTGCAAAATTTCTACTCTGTCTACGCAAGCACGAGGAAGGAAATTGCTGGAGCTCCTGGAGTCCGAGAAGGCAGAAAATTGGCAACGAAGAGCCGCAAAGGTGCTACAAAAGGAAATACAAATCCAGGAAGAATGAGCAGTTCTACGCAAAAAAGAGATCGAAGCTCTGCAAGACAGTTTCGCAGAAGCCACAGCATACATCCAAAAACGAAGACAATCCCAACTGCTTGTGGAAAATTGCTTTGCAATACGAATACAAACAAAGTAGGGGCAATAGCCGGTCGATACGGTATTCTCAGCTTTCGAACCACCAACCATTCCACACGCATCGTCCTCCAATCGCCAATGGGCAAAACAAGCACTGTTTGGACTACGGCGGGGCTAGAAAGAGTACTACGACAACACGATTCCTACTTCGAGAGAACGAAGACAGACTGTTTCGAGCGACAAACGTATTGGTCGGTAGAAAAGGATTTCTCTCGAGACGAAGTGTACGAACACACCCTGCAAATCGAGATCGAATCCTCCGAAAGAT